CCTTGATATAGAAGATTTGCTTAGATTCATGCATACTGACTCTATCTTAGGGTTTTGAGGCAAAAGTGGGGTTAATTACCCACTTTTAGCCAACAGTAATATGTAAAAGTAGAGAGGACTCTCAATCCAAAGAAATTTCTGAAAGCAACAGAACTATTAACAAAGAAACAGAATAGAAGCCAAATTCTGAATCCAACTAAGTGATAGAAAGGAGAACATGGAGTTATAAAACTTGTTCCCAGTAATGGTGTGAGCAGAAAATAACTTCGCACTTTAACAACCACAAGCTGCATGTGCCTGTCTGACAGCTGGGAGTATTTTTTTAAAAATCTGAATACATACATAAGCTCACCATATAATGCACAACCTGATGACTTTTTTTAATAGCCATTTTCAGAATAAAACAAGGAGGTAAGCACTGAACTAGAAGATATTTCATCCCATGATGCATTTTTGCAATGGCTCATGACATCTTTAAGCTACCTGGGAGAAGAAAGGCGTCTCCTTTCCGATTCTCTTCTTTTCCTTTCTGCAGATCTGCTCCTCACTCTTCTAACCGGAGACCGGGTCCGAGAGGGGGATCTACTCTGTTTAGACCTACGATCGTTAAAGAGAGGGGATCTGCTTCTTCTTGACTTTTCACGCTGTTTGGGGGATAAGCTTCTTCCTTTTGGGCTACGGCCAGGTCGTCTAGGGGACCTGTTTTCTTTCCCTGAAGAAGCATCTTTAGAAGGAGATTTAATTGGCTTTTTTTCTTTGTCAGTCTCTGATCTCCTAGGTTTTCTATCTTTGGACCGTGATCTTCTATCTTTGGATTTGCTTCTTAGTTCTGTTGGAGATTTAGATTTTCTGCCACGATCTCTGCTTTTGTTTTCATTAATAACTGGAGACTTTCTGCGATCTCTTGATTTACTTTTATCATCAGCCTTATTTCTATCTTCTGGAGGAGATTTAGACTTTCTGTTTTTCTCCTGAGATCGCCTCTTAAGCATTGGGGACCTAGATTTCCTTGTCTGATCTTGAGACTTACTTCTCTTATAAGGGCTTTTGGATTTCCTCCTTTCTTTTGACTTGCTTCTAGTTGTCTTCTCTTTGACTCCATCAACTCCTGTCTTGCTTTTCTTTTTGTCAGACCTGTGCCTAGTCCTTTCTTTTGATTCACTCTTACTTGCTTTCTTGGAACCAGTTTTATTGTCCACAGGTTCCAATTTCCCCTTGGTGTTTGACTTTGCTGTAGGTCTCGTTCCATTTCGTGCTTTTTCATTAATCTCCCCCTCTTCTTCAGATCCTGACTCATAACCTTGTAATATTAATCCCATCCCAGACTGGACTTTTCCTTCCATTAATTCATTTTCAAGTTCAGCTTTCAATAATGCTCTTTGTTTCTCCAAGTCTTCCAGAGGAGCTAAAAAATCAATTTTAGTTCTTTTAGCTGGTCCATCTTCTTTGTCAGAGGCATCAGCCACCTCTTTCCATTTATGTTTCTTATGTTTGTGTCTGTGTTTATGTTTTTTGTCCTTATCTTCTTCTGAAGAATGTTTATGTTTCTTGTGTTTACTTCGGTGTTTGTGTTTCTTTTTTTTGTGTCGGGTGTGCTTGTTTTGAGGTTGGTCTGCCTCTGATACTTCCCCATTTTCTTCATTCACACTTTTCTCGGATGCCTCAGCATCCTCAACCCTGCAAAAAAAATAAAAAGATCAGTACTTTCAACTTCCTGCAGTCTTTTATCTCATGTTAAGTCACCAGCCTTTTTTATGACAAAAACTAACTGCCATTTAATCACCTACCTTTGGGAGGATTAAAAACATTTGACTAATTTAACTAAGTTGTAACAGCAGACACAGTTCTTCATGAACAGACTACGGCTGCACAGCAAAATACTACGGAAGGAGGAGACAGCAAATGCACCGACAAAACAAGATGTGTGGGTGGAATCAATGCTCACGCCTTTAGATTCAATGCTGACAATGTCTGTTAATAACATACAACAGTGCTGCATATTTACCTATCTTGTCAGTCCACCATTATCTTTTTCTCTTGCTGTTCCACTCCAACGCCTAACCCAAGCTATGGCTTTTAAAAGTATTTTCAAATGGCAGAAAACTGTTGTGCTCCAAAGATCAAAATTTATTTCAAGGGATGGTGCTGACCAGGTAATGAAACCTTCTTGTAAAACATCAGTCAGAGCTGACTGACTCCCTTAACTTAAACTTCTTTCTCTAAGCGTTAGAAAATCAAGAAGTCTTCTTATGCATTTATATTATGTATGCAATGCAGGGAACACTATTGAGGAACAGCACAAATTAAGGAAGTCTAATTTAAGAGCGACTTTCTGACACTATACAGCAGACAGTAGCTTCGGAAAAATGTGGTAATCTTTATACCTGGAAAACGGTATTGAGTGAACATACACTAAAATTATTTGCTAAAACCATTAACATTTTAGTGCTCAAAAGTGACAAACTTCCTAAGGGACTGTCTGAGTTAAAAACATGGAATATTCAGAGACTTAAGTCAGAATGCTGCATGCCTTTTCTTTTAGACCTTTACCACTACTTCTGCTTATTCAAGGTACATGGAAAGGTTTTTTTCTTAATTGCTTCCTCCTGATACTTCACACCATAATGACAAGAGAATATCAGAACAAAAGAGGGAAAACTGCCTTAAAAAGAACTTACTCTTAGTTGCATTTCACACAAAAGGGAAAAAAAAAAAAAGGAAAAAGTATTAAATGCAGAACTTCTTCAACTTGGATTTGCAGTCCTGAGCAAGTCTATCTGTAACATAAGTTGGTTAAAGGGCAGAAAAACGTCACAAGGAGAATTTTAAGGGAACTATGCATCTTTTAAGATTCCTTTTAGTTGTACACAGGATGCTGTAAGAGTCTTCCTTCTCTTAATAGCAGAAAGTGACACTGAAATCTTTAAAGGAAGTTATTTTGTTATATTGCATGTATTTTAAAGTTAAGTAATAATCTCATCTTAAATTCTGGAAAAGCAAGCTGGCAGAGAAGACACCAGATGAGATACAACACCCTAGCAATATCTCAAGCCATTACAGACTGCCAATACAACTGCCTGCTGTCTCTGTAACTCAACAATAAAATTACTATTAAGTTCATTAATATGCATTAAATAGTTCAGATTTTCTTCATGTACAGGAATATGTTCATTTCAAGTAATTCCATCAAAATGTGGATAAACTTTTACTTCATTTAAATGCTTCAGAGGTGTATTGATGTGGATGAGAAACCTTTTAAGAAGATTTTAGAAGGTGATGAGCCAGTTTGATATGTGCATGTTTAGGCACTAATGGCTTTAAATAGAGAGAAATTGTGACATGATCTTGTTATAGCCCTACTTTTTCCTGCTTTTGATTTCAGGAAGAATGATAGGAAGTTTATTAAGTTTTGCAAAAAGGTTTCACCCATCTTTTCCTACATAGAAGGTTACTATCATCACCTTCTATCTTATCACTTAGTTAACTTCTTTCTCTATGCAATACTAAACACTCGTGTTTTACATAGTTCACACGTACACCTAACCTATTTCCTCACCCGTTTTCCACTCACACGATTAACAATAAAGTCAAGCCTCATATCAAAACTTTTTAAGGCAGAAAAAAAACAGAAAACAGAAAGAACACAGAAAGCAGTTTAAACAGCTAAAATATTTATATAGTGAAGAGAAGCGATAGAGTAAGCATCAGGATGTTAATTCTGGGCAAAATTTCCAGACGACTGAGTTCACTGCGTGTGGACAAACCCAAACCCCACGGCACTAACCAGGGTGCCAGGAAAACGCACGCCCGGGAGCCCCGGTCCGGCGGGGAGGCGGCAGCTCCATCTCCGCTTCCCAACGGGAGCCGGGAGTTGCCAGTCATTTCGAAGGCTGGAAGGAGGGGCTGGCGGCAACAAATCGCTTTCTGCTTCCCGCAGCCCAGGCACCTTCCCTACCGCGAGAGCGGCGGGGCCCGGAGCAAGGAGGGCGGCCGGGAGGTGGGCTCGCCGCAGGGCGGGCAGCGGCTCGGCAGCCCCGGGGCACCACCGAGGCACCCGCTGGCCCGCAGCGCCCCCAGCCCCGCTCGGACAGGGCGTGTGGGGGTGTGTGTAAGTGGCGAAGGGGGGGAAAGATCCCGGGCAGCGTCGGCCCGGACCCACGTCAGGATGCCCCAGCCCTGCGCGCCGGGCGGCAGCGGCCTCGCAGCCACGCGGAGGAGGCGCCCCCTCCACACACACACATACACACACACATCCTCGTCCTGCTGTCCCACGTCGCGGCAAACCCCGGTTCCCCGGCAGCGATGCCGCTTCCCCGCGGCCGGAGCGCCCCCGGGGCGGGGAGGCGCACGCGGGACTCCCGAGGACACGCGCCCGCCGCTCCCGGCGCCGCTTCCCTTCCCCCTCCTTCCCCGCGCGGCCCTCCCGGATCCACGGGCCAATGCAGTGCCCCCGGCCCCGCCGGGACGCCTCGCCGCGAGCCCGGCAGCTCCTACAGCGACCGCTCTGCCCCGGGGCGGCCGCCTTCCCCCGTCCTCTTCTCCTCACCCCCTCCTCCTCCTCCCTCGCCACTTCCACCCGGGCCGCTTCTCGTCCTCCCCGTCCCGTGTGTGTTTGTGTATCCCCGCTTCAATCCCCTCGCCCGCGCTTCTCCCTCAACCTCCCTCCTCCTCCCGAGGCGCCGCGGAGAGAAGCCTCCCCCCTCCAGCCCCAGCGGGTCCCTTACTCGGGCGGTCGCTGCTCGGGCTCGGCCGCGGCGGCCATTTTGAACTTCCGAACTCCTTCGCTGCCGCCGCCGCCGCTGGCAGGGGGGGTGGCGGCGCGGGGCCGGAAGTGAAACCCGCGCGCGGGGCCGCGAGCGCGGCGGAGACTCCGCCTCCTCCCTCAGGGGCGCCAGGGGGAGGAGGCGGCGGGAATGGAGCCGGGCGGGAGTGAGTGGAGTGGGTTGGGATATCGCGGGGGGGGAGAGGAGGTGGGGACTTTTCGCTCTGAGGGTGGGGAGCCGCTGGAATAGGTTACTCAGAGAAGCCGTGGATGCCCCATCCCCATGAGTGTTCAAGTCTGGCTTGGCTGGAGCTCGGAGCAACCTGTTCCAGTGTCTCTGCCTGTGGCACGGGGATTGGGACTGGGTGACCGTCAAGGTCCTTTCCAACTCGAACCAATCTGCGGTTTCATGATCTTGTTGTAAGGTGTTGCTCCGCTTAATCTCTGCCTTTCCGTGCTGCTGGGAAAAGGCGGGTGGGCTTCGGCGGCGGGATGTTGGGCTGTGTTTGGGATGCGCTTGGGATGATGGCTGTTGGGGTTGGAGGGGTGCAGATTTCTCACCAGCGTGCTTGGCTTTTAAGATCAGTATTAGATTTAAAATTACTGTTGCCTGTCTCTTAACAGGAGCTGCTATAAACTTAACACAGCAATGCCGTAACATTATTAACCTGTAGTTAATTTTTAATTTCAATAGGTGACTCGAGTCACCAGTCATTTATGGCATCATTTTTCTCATGCAGAACCCTCACTTCTTTCAGATAGTCTTAAAATCTGTGGGCATTCCGAGGACTGGAATCTGAATTTGGGTTTCACTGCATGTTAGAGTTTGGATAGGATACTTAGAGTGTCTTACAGACTCCTTAGAGTTTGGATAAGTGAATTTTAACTCTCTTGCTTATTGTCTTTTGTAGATTTGTCTACCAGCAACTACAGAAAATTAATGAATTTAACTACAAATACCAATGGTCTCTGTCAGTGCACCTGCCCATCATCTCAAGGACATCACAACATGCTGCTGTGCTTTTTTAAACCCAGATGGCCTGGTCTGGTGGAAATTTTTCAGGTGGAGATATACAGGAGCAAGCTCTACCATTTAATAAGGAGGATTAAAAGTAAGATCAGGAAACACCCAGCCCAAATGTGTGAGACAGATATGGCAGGTCAGATTTCAGGCTATCCTAAAATGGACCAAAGTGGAAATGAGTCTTACAGCATGGGAGATGAAAATAATGAAAGCAAATAAAATCTTGCAAAAAATAACTGTCCTGTTGCCTGTGTATCAGATGCCTCAAAATATGAGTTTTCGCTATTGTGATATGAGCCTGAGCATCATCCTTATGCCTCTCACTGTTGTGAAGTGAACACCTTGTTTGGAGAAGCAGTGGCTCATTTGCAGCTTGACAAACCCTGCAGTGCTGACTTCTCTTCTATATTCCAAGAGAAAGGATGGAGAGGCCCAGTCTGTGAATCTTAGCACCTCTCTCATTTTACAGTGTTTGAACCCAGACCTTTGCTGGGGAGGTAAAAACCCCTAGAGCTGAACCAAGGTGTAAACATCACAACAAAAATAGCTGCAAGCTAGATGTGAAGGGTCAGCTCTTTCTGTGGAAGATGCTTGTGCCTTAAAGCTGGGTTCTGAGAGAAGGCAGCACTTTTACAACACGTGCAATAGAGCACTAGAGCCAGAAAAAGCTGAGCAAATCCATTGAAAGGGTCATGCTGTGGATCGTGGTTTTAAATGTGTATTATCCCACAACCAAGTGGATCTTAGTGGAAAATCATTGAAAAATCACACAAGCGGATAAAAGAAACCCACCAGTGCCTCATCTCTGAAAGTGCTTTTATGTCACAAGATGCCCGGAAACTGCACAGAAACAGCCATCAAAGGAGACCTCGTCCCAGTGCATGGTGTAACTCTCATCTTCTGAAACTGAGCAGATAAGAAATCTTCATATAGCTTGCTTACCCTTATCGGGATGTGGTTAGATGTCCACACAGTGATTTTACCAGTAAGTCAAATTCTGTTTTTCATTCTCATACAGTGCCCTCCTCAGCTATAAACTTATCCGTGCAAATAACTTTATTTGGTCAATACAGAATTTATCACAGAGTTTCAGTGTGAGCTGTAAATGTTACCATCAGAAGCTCCTGTCAAACATCTTCATGCCGGTTTAAGCAAAGGAAATGTAAGAATTGCAAAAATTCTAGAAATACATTGTAGATGTTCACATTTAGATGACGTTCCTTCATTCTGCAATATCCTGTCTCATTTTATATTTTAGATTCTGAATGTTTCTAGGAGTAGTCGATCATCATATTCCAAATATTTCAATATTATTAGCTTTTTAATGGCTCTAACATTACTGTAAAGGTACTTCTATCAAGTTTAAGGCTTTTTTTAGCTTTTTCAAGTTTTGTGACACTGCTATTAGCTAAGTATTGTCTCCATTTATAAATGGAAGACCTTGACTGAGTAAGATCATCTGTGTCTCTTAAATCACAAAAGGACATTATTCCAGTATTCTCGTGCTGTTCACCTTTGCTTTAACTACTGATGTTGCTTATTTACTTATTATACTTTTTTATATTTTTTCTCTCATTGATTAAATAATGTTTCTGTTACTAATGGCAAGTGTTTTGCCCTCAGTAAAGCTGTGAATTTAGCCTGTAGGTAAAATCTTGAAAGATTGTGTACAAAGGTAGTTGGGGCATTATTCTGTTTAACCCTTCAGTGTTGTGGGTGATTGCAGTGATTAATTGATTTTAGCAAGGTTTCCATGCCTGCTTCTGTTAATATGAACCAAATTCCTGCTTTATGCTTTGAACTACTGATTTGGTTCTGATTGCTTAGTAGGGCCAAGTGAAAAAAACAGGTAATTGTGAAATAAGGTGATGGCTCAGGGGTGTGCTCTGGAGTTTGTGGCAGTGGTCAGGTAAGAAAACTGACAATGTTAGGAACGTTGGGGAATGTGGAATGACGGGGCTCCCACTAACTAGCCAGGCCAAGCAGTGCATCTATGTCATGGTAAAGGTTTTGAAGGGTTTAGATTGGGTTATATGTTACACAGCCTAATTTTGATGTCTTCATTGTTTTTGGCATACATTGGGTTGTTCTGAGGCTTTTTACTGTTTGAAAGGGCCAGAGATAGAATTCTTATAGAAGGTTATAGCAGACTTCCTGGTGAAAAATTGATTGGAAAACCAGTAATTTTTAGAACTATAAGCAAAACAAATATTTTATTTGCTTCACAACGACTTACAGCATCTCCACTTAATTGTGTGTGACTGCAAGCCAACAACAAGAGTGCAGGCCAATATAACTCTTTCTCTGAGGGATTAGGAAGGAAAGCACAAGGAAAGAGAGCTGCAGTTCACAGTATTTCAAAATAGAGATGACTACAACAGTGGAGAGACTCATGAGTGTTTATACAAAAAGTGTTTTTGTAAGTGAAAGGATATCTGTTTTTTATTAACAAATTATAAATTGTCTCTTGAATGAGTAGTTTCATTCCTTTTTGGTGGGAGACTTGGGGATCAAAAATCCATCTCCCTTACAACTGCAGTGAGAAAACCTGGGACTAGATTTTCCAAGATAGTCTTTTGACAATTTGCGTTATGTCTGGGGGCAATGAATTTTGAAAATTATAACTTGCCATTCACTGTTATGTTAACATGCAGGAAGTTTACTTAATTTTAGCTTCCTGGTGAAAAATTAAATTGGTTAAATAATAATTTTCAAGTTCTCAGTAGTAGTATAGAATTGCAAATATTTTGTATTTGTTCTGATAATTATTTACATTTTTGTGATAAATGTGAGCAAAGAAGCCTTTCTAAATGTTTATTTAATGCCTGCTAATGAAAAAAATGTGTAACATGATAAGGAACTGTCCTTTGCTGATTTGTTCTGCTTGCAGAGCTAATTAAATGGTAATGAGAGCCTTCCTGCTTGCTATGGGGATAGTTTTTGAAACAAGTTTTAAACGTAGCTTTGCACTTGTGTAAGGTTCTGTTTAACTTAGTGTCAAGTTTCAGCTGTAATTTCTAACGTAACTTGGTACAATATGCTTGTTGTAGCTTTTGACCATGTGAAAGCCTAAGTGGTTACTGGGAAAAAATGTACGAATTGCTACAATACTGAAGTTTCTTCTTAATTTCTTACTTGGAACAAAATTATCAGTTTGTCATTCTGGGAGATTCTTGTGTGAGATTGTGTGATGTTATTTGTTTTTCACTTTTCTAAATTAAAACAGTTGTCGATAGTCGCGTAGGCTGTGTGGTGACAGTCTTCTATCTGCATCAGGGATAGAGGCAAAAGACCAGAAAGATTATTCATGCTGCCTGTCATAACTTCGGGCCTTTGAATCTCGAATCTTGAAAAACAGTTCAGAAGTTGCTACAAAAGTTGAGTGATTTTTATATTAAAACCGTTACAGGAAATTATTAGTTTCATGGAAACGCTTCCATTTCCATTTCCCATTAAACAGAAATCCTCTTTGCAAAACCTGCAACCTCCAACCAGTAGTTTCTCCAGACCAAATTTAGACTGTTAGCAAATGCGCTTAGAAGAAAATGGACATGTAAAGTACACTGTGTATGCCGCTAAAAATAATCCTTTGAGGCTTGGGTATTTTGATGTTTCTTAAGTATCTGTTCCTTCGATATTTTTCATGTGCTCTATAATTCACATCAAAATAACTCCATCTCGGGGATACATTTTCCTAACTCATTTTAAATTGTGGTTTGAAATCTTTGAGAGCTCCTTGTTACCGTGTTTTGGTTTTTTGTCCTGTTTTGACATTAGGAGTGCATTAAGCATTTGTAGAGTTGAGCTAACCTTGGATTTTCTGCCAGAGGCCCCATGGTCAAATTATGTCTTCATAATCAATAAGTGCTCTTTATACTGAAATACTGTGCATCTCAACCTAAGTCAGCCTCATATTACTTAATAAGCACAAAATACTTTTAAATTACGTAGAGGTTAAGTTTGAATATTTGTTAATTGTTTAACATGAGTAAGTGTTTTTCTTCTATTTTAAATTAATGTATTTACTCTGATTTTAACCTATTGTAACAAATTGTGGCCTTTAATACAGCCAAGGAATGGATCAAGGTCTGTATGATTTTCCCAGTTATTTTCCCTTTTTCCCCAGTGCTAATTATTTGCTTAGTGCAAATGTACGTCTCCAAGTAAATTTGTTTTAATTGGTGGAAGAAGGCTTTAAAACTCATTAGGTAGATTGGAGCTGTGTTTTGAATGGTGGGGGGAGGGACTAGGAACTTAGAGTCTGCTTGAAGTCACTAAACAAAGCAGTCAGTGGCGGTGGGATGTGGCAGCTGCACTGAGCTACCCAACTGAGCAGCTAAGTAGGTAGAGGAGAAAAGAAGGCAACAACACTCAGTGCAGGGAATCTGGATGCAGGACATGATGAGGTGCTTGGATTTATGATAGTTTTTATGTTGATTTGAGTTTCTAGTGGGCTTTTTTTGGCAATTGATAAATGCTTGGTTGCATAGCTAGTTGTCTGTTAGTTTAAAAGGAAATTCTTCCATGTTAAGTTAGTGGCAACAAGTTTATCTTCCTTACAAGTCTTGCTTCATCTTACGCAGTGACAGCTTTATTTCCATCTGAAAGAGGCAGGTATCCTTTCTTCATACAGGGAAGACTCTATTACATCACACTTTTATTGTTTGTTATGTTATCAAACTGGGGGTGGGGATACTGCTTAACATGTAGAAGCTGAAGAGTGCTTCATATCTGAAGCTTTTCTGGATTTAGCTTTGTGTGAATGTGACTGGAATAACACCAGAATTGTAATACTCTTAATGGTGACTAGGTTCAATATTCAATTTAGATGTTTTGACCTAAAAGATTAGTCTCTTTCTGATTCCTTTTTGGAGATTTAACAGTCTCAAGAGTGCATGTTGTAGTTCATGCTGTTATCAGTTTCAATTCCTCAGATCTTGACCTACAAAAAAAGACATAGACTTGTGTTGGAGCAGAGCTACGTCTCTGATTTCAGACTGCTGTCTTCAGTTAATCTCATTAAGTGAAGCAAGGTGAATCTTATGGGGAAATCTATAGCAGCCTATCAATGAATGTATATGAACTTCAGTTTCATCAAATGAGCAATTCTTATGGCTAACTTCAACACTTCATAAATCCTAAAGCAACTTCCAAAGAACTCCATCTTTGTCTCTTGCAGGGTGAACAAAAGTGGAACAGGGGGGAACTGTGCATTCTTATACCATCAACGTTTGATTTTCTAAGTTATCTGTAACAGTAGTAGAGGCTGTAAATCTCTAGCAGCAGTTCTTCTTCATGCTGATGTATAGAACCCCCTCCCAGTATTATGTTAAAGATGGCCCCTTTCACTGAAATCAGTAATGAATTTATGACATATCTACATGTCTCACTTCTGTGTTTTACTGCACACTTTATATTTAGAGTTATGAAACCACACTGCATTTTTTTACTCCAGATGATCTGCTTTTACCAGTGTTATTTGTTTAAGAGATACCGTTTTCACTTGTTCTTCTGTCTTGCTTTTTTGTTTGTTTGTTTAAACCGTTTTGACTGAAATTTTTCACTATGTTCTTTGCCTACAGCTAATACTTTTCCTTTTAAAAACAAATCAACCAAAATGATTCAGCCAATTTTTTAGAATGCATATGGAAAAAACCTTCTGTTCATAATGTTTTCAAGTGGAAACCATAGGACTGTGGATACCTTTTATTTAAAAAGCCCTAATAGTCCGTGGCTTGCAGGAAATTTATAAGCATTTTTTGGAGAGTGTCTTCTATTAGAATAGATGAAAGGCCACATTCCTGATGCAAAAATCTGTCGAGATTTGGTCTCTTCACAGTCTCTGAAAAATGCAGTGAACAAAGATGATACCTTATTGCAGGAAGCTAGGTGTGACAGACTGTTTTAGGGAGGCAGGGACAGGATCTGAGAAAACTTGCCAGTTTTCTTTGGTACCTGGCTTGCAAAGAATTTTAATTCTTTTGTAGACAGCATATATAAAAAAAATTGTATACTAAAGACTGGTGGAGCTGGAAAACCTGTGAGAAGTTGTTAGAGGAAAAGATTGAAAAGAGGAGGTGAACTTAAGCAGAATTTGGCATGTTAGAAAAACTGATACTGGAACAGGGCAAAGTGGGCAAAGAGTAAAATAATGGGAAGTCTCAGAAAATGAGAATAACTTGGGCTACAGTTTGGTCTGAAGTGGACAGAAAGGATTTAGTCTCAGACATGTGAACCAGCGTTAAAATAAGAGGCTACACAATCGCTTCTGTTTACTATTGCTGCCATTATTCAAATGACAATCAGTTCAAGCATCAGAGGTTTCCGGCATATACATATGATTCCCTTTTGTGAAATCTGGAATTTATGTTTTAACTTCTTAAGTATTTTGATTCAAAAAATAAAGCCTAAAACTTGTTAAACATCAAAAAGAAAACAAAACAAACAAACAAACAAAAAAGTTAAGAAAACTCTTGGTACAGGTTTAAAAAGCAAACACTCATCTGTGGGGGTGGGTACACTTGAAAAATCTTCAGTTGCCTGACTTGACTGTATATAAATTTCTGCCTGCAGTGATCCTTTTGAAATTCAGTGTGTAGAATGGGTAGTGCTTCATTTTTATTCTTTAGAGAAGAGAGTAGATACAAAGAAAAACAATGAAATTAAGGTTATCAAAGCAACTTTAATTTTGGTAATTCCTAATTTTTATTTCTTGGCTTAGCAATCTCAGTGGGTTGGGATTTTATTTGAGGTTTTTTAATATAGGTTGTATTTTGTGTTGGAGATACATTGTGAATCTGTCTTAACACACTAAAATAAATTACGAAAAATGGCCTCTTCTTTAGCAGCTGCTGTATGTTCTGAGTTTGTGGGCTGTACATTGCTGTACATCATGTGTGTACCATACAGTACATGGCTTTATAAAAGTTCACATATTTCTTCCTTAGGTCCTATGACATGGAGGCCCTTTAGGTCGCTGGCTTCAGCTCCGTCACAGTATTCTTACATGTGCTGGTGGTGCCTTGACCACTGAACCAGACTGGAGAAACTGGTGTACACTGAATTGGAAGGTCAGGTAAGTGTTTCTTTATTCATAATGCTGTCTTGTATACAGCGTATGAAAAAAAAAAACATAAGATGTTGAATAATTCTTTTATCTGTAAATGGTCACAAAATCGGCAATTTTCCAATTTATCCTTCCTTTTTTCTCAGTCACTAGAGACTCCATAATGCAGCAGTTCTTGTAATCTGATGCTTGCTGTGTCATCACATTAAATAGAATTAGCAATTTAATAAATAAGGCTTGATGACACTGGGTGAGGAAAAGAAGTCTTTATTTTTTTCTTTCTGTAAATAGCAGTGTGCTGAAATGTCTCACATTACCAAGTTCTGTTTTTTACAAATCATCTTCAGAGTTGGTACAACTGGTTTGAGATTGATTGATTTATATAACAATTAACATCAGATTTTATATCTTGTTTAAAAGGGGGGGGGGGAGGACAAAGAGAATTTTGGGTACTTTGTTAGTTTGTTGCTAATACAAAAGCAGTAATGTACAAACTATGTCAGATTATGTGCCAAATAATGCTGTGGATTAAAGTATTTCACTTACTCTGAAGCAAATACTGGCTATCTTCTCGACCATGTAATGCATTTTCTTTTCCCCTAGTTTTTATAAAGTATATATGCAGCACTGTGTTTCTTAAACTTATATTTTAGGTTGGAAATGGCTGACATTTCACTGATGTTTTTATTAGTCTTAATAGTGTAATTAGAATTATATGCTATTTTAACAATATTTGGATATTCATAATGTAAGTCAATTCCTTGCAATATAACAGCTTTATTATGTGATAAGGTTGTTTTGTTCTTTATCTACACATATAGTGATCGTTAGAAGTTTGCTGAGGAAACTTAGAAAAGATAACTACTTAAAATGTGTGTTGTTGGATTAAGCTTTTGGATGACAAATACATTGTAATCTGGTAAACCAAATGGATTCAGGTCAAATGAGACACTTGAAATCACGTTTCTCCTTCCTGCATTGTCACTTTTAAAAGGAAAGGGATATTTATTGTCATGGCAAGTGTGTCAAACACAGTAGTGGCTTTCCAAATGCTGTCATTTTTATGATTATAATTTGTGCTTACCTAATTTTGGTTTTATCTTTTGTTGAGTCAAGCAGAACTTTAACAATTTTATAATGCAGGTGTGCATCCAGTAATGACAATCTGTACTTCCTGGGTGTGTATGAATGGCAGTTAAACATTTCTCTGAGTCACTTGCCTTTTCATTGTATTTGCAAAAGTAAAACAGAGCAGTTCTTTCCTCAAAATTACTTACATTTAACTTGGATCTAACTTTGTCCTAAAGGGTAAAAAACAAACAACACAAGAAAATGAACAAAAGATATGCCCAAAAAATGTTTTGTTTTTGTTTTTTTTTTTAGCTCTATTTTATGTGTGTTTCACAAACGTAATACAGAATAAGGAGCAAGGTTTATTTTCTCTACGACTTTGTCTTTTACCTGAAAGTATAATATCTGAGATTTTTCAGTCTTTTCATCACTGATGCTGTTATAAAATATTGGTTGATAGTGTATTTTGTGTTTCTTTTAAAATTAGTTTATGTAATTTAATTGTTAATTGACAGTCCAGAAAAGAATTAAAGGAGCAGATGAAAAATCACAGAACTTCTACATCAGTTTTGTCTTCATTTTGGGATCAAGTATTCAAGACCAGACATCAAATGAATGGACATCACAAAACAAATCCATCATAAAAAAACCAAACCCACAAAGGAAAGAGAGAGACAGAAGAAAGAAGCCTGAAGATAATCCTGTGTGCTCCAACACAAAAGCAACTAGAAAGAAAGATTCAAGGTAATTTAAATGCCATACCTACAATAGGTACCACCTCTATTACAGCAAAACTTGCTATTTTGTTCCTTCACTGCAGAACTTTTGATAGTCTGGCACATTTATTTGTTTGCTTATTTACTTACTTATTTTTATAAGAAAGTTACACCTGGATAGCCTGAATAAAAATAAGGTACCCTATTCAAACAGCTGCCTTCTACTTGGTTTATGGTAGTACCAGGCTTTTGAATAGATTAAGCAGGCGCTGATCAGAAGGTGCTGCTAAAGGTTTTTTATTACATTGTGTTACAAGAAACAACAAAGTGGAGTCATTGAGACGGGCTCTTGGAAGAGCCAAGAGAGGTGCTGTGAGGCCTCTTGGAATTCTACAAGTTAATTAGGTGAAAAAACAGCTTCCTTTGTAGTCAAGGCTGCATTTTTAAGAGGCATATTTACTGAACACCAATTTTATCAGTTAGTGTAAAATTCTACTTATCTACAGTTGTAAGAGTTAACACCAACACTTTGCCTGACCTCCAATGCATCCTTTCTTCCAAGAAGTTGAGAAGGCATTTGATGCTATCCTATTATTCAGAAAAGATCTCTTTTTCTTCTTTTTTTTTTTTTTTTTTTTTTTTGATGAAGAAATAGTCATCTCTGGTAGCCACCTGTCCATGAGTTGATATTACAACATATTCTGATAACTTTCCTAATATTTAGACAGAGAAGTTTGTGTGCATCTGTTTCTCTAGGTTTCTTGTAAGTGTGTGAATTTGGTTTTGTGTGTGTTCTTTTTTTTTTGTTGTTGTTAATGGCCATGCATTATTAGAAAACATTTTCACAATAGTTTAACTACAGAAGTCACTTCTGACTTCTACAGTTGTGTATTAATAAATTAAACTTTTGTCCCCAAAGAGCTTCTTTATCCCACTCTTTTCTAGGACTGAAGTATTTATGTATATATATACATAAATATGTATATACACACATTATTATATGTATATATACACATAATATATACATTATATTATGGATTTAATATGGATTTCCTGAATTGGAAATTGAAATCCTGAATCTGGATTTCCTGTTCTGATGCTGTTATTGCTCGTGTGGAAAGAAATAAATACATGTTTTAGGAGCTTGTGAAAGAGGTACAATAAAAAAAGGCAAAAGTGAAAAAAAAGACCTAATTACTTGAAGTAAGTTAGCAGCTTTGTTAGTAGATAGTGAGTAGACCAGTGTGCTGTTGATGTACCTTTCATTTAGGCATCTGTCTTTTGTTTGAGGTTTTTTTTTGTTTTTTAAAATGAAGTAGTTAACAAAACTTGCCTCTGTTTTAAGTTGGAGAAGTGTAAGGTTAAGCACATTACATTACTGTATCATTGCCAGTTATTTTTGAACCAGTGGAGTATGATAATCCAAATTTTTTTTAAGGTTACATGTTAAACGTGTCATCTGATGAACGTACTACCTTTCTGTTTCGAAAGCAAAGGGAGCGTTTATGGGCTGGGTCTCTGGAGCTCTCCCTGCAACACTGCTTGTAATCACCGCCAAGATTAGGAACTTGAACTTTTCATACCTAGTCCTGACTTGAGCTTTGCTTGACTTAGTTTTGCAGAGCAAAACAAACTTCATGTCAACGCTGTTTCTTTCTTACAGCCCCCCTGAAGTGCAAACTCCTGAAACCAGCAACTACCTTTAGTTCCAGCCTGTGGCTGTCTCTTAATTCTTTCTGCTGAAGGCCCTGACCCCTGTCGCCGGTGGCAGCCGGCTCGGTTGCACACAGCTCAAGCCAGCTGGGTGTCCTGCAGCATAGATTGAGCAGCTGATGGCAGAACGGCATCGACACAACACTGCCCTGCTGACCGTGACTCCAAGCCCCCGCAGAGCTCCAGCATGCCAAAGCAAGTAGCCTCGTTTTCTCTTTGTCCCAGCATTGTCTCTTGTTATGCCCAACACAGTCACTCGGGAACTGTATTTTAGAGTTTATTGATGCTGTTAAACCTTAAGAAATTCTGTTAAACTAGAATAGGTCTGCTGCCACAAGGTTACCAGCCGAGTGTTCCTAACGGGACTTGGAAAACCAGCTGTTTTCCCTTGCTGTCTTGTGGCGCTTTGTTTGTTTTTCGCCAGGAGGGGGCAGCAAATGAACAACGTCAAAGGGGAATTTTTACTTTTCCAGCGCTTTTCTGGCGTTCTTTTTTGCCCGAGATCCTCAGTGTGAGCTACGTACCGATGTGAGAGTTTAAAACGATGATTTTTACCTATTTGCTACGAAGTGAGCTGGAATGTATGAATTGGAAGTCTTCATTTTTTTTTTTATATTAAGCAGTAGGATTTATTTAGTAAAATCTATCTCAAGTTTATAAAAAGGGCATTTCTGCATGAAGGTTTAAGATTTTTATGACTATGGCAATTAGGTCTGTGTATATTTTAAAGGATAAAATAACCAAAAAAACAAACTCCATGACAATATTAGTTAATGCCACCTGCGTCTTACTTAATGTATTTCAAATATTTATTTTCTATGCTGCAAGTTAATGTAATATTACAATTCAAAATAATGTTCTCACAGCCGTTTTTCTCCCCTCAGAAAATAAAACTGAGGACTTTAAATCTAGTGATGCTTTTAATTCATGTATAATTAATGCATTCATGTACAAGGGTGGCTTGTGTGTACTGCTGACAGAGCATGGGAGTTAAAGGTCTGAATTCACAGGGAATTCTAGTGATGCTCAACAATATAACCAAATTTTATTGCCTTATTTCAGCCACAAAGTACAGTTTTATCATCTAAAATTTTATGGAGGCATGCCATATCACTGATTGGGAGTATAGTGAGGGGGTTTTGTGACTTTAGGAAAATACTGACTGTTACCTATCACTGTGAATTTCTTGAAAGTGTGTGGCTGTAGTTCTGTTTAAGTTACAGATCAAGTAGTTAGCAAGAAGTCACAGAGAGAGGGCAGTCTAATCTTTTCAGTTGCTGAGTTCTATCCAATAGTTCCTATAAAAGAAGGGAAGATCATAGAGGCATCTGTATCAGGTCCTATAATCAGTGTTCAAAAGCTAACTGGGAAAAATGAAGCTGATTCCTAACAGGACTGATTTATTGATAGTCTAGCCTTCATGATTTTCATTAAAATCATAAGTGTTATAATGCTTGTGAGACCTTCATGGAGTCTAAAACTTAATCAAGGGAATTCAAGACCTTTTGGTCTAAATTGGTCAGAATTTCCCACTGTGTAGATACACCTTATCTATATGTCAAGAATGAAAGGCTGAATCATCCATATTCCAGGTTCCTTTGGACTTTTGCCCCTTAAGTTTAAAAGATTTAACCAACCCTCCTTTTCTCCTTCCAAAAAAAGAGAACATGTCAGTATTCTTGGGAAGTTTGCACTGCAAGTGCTGCCTATGATGGCAACTTTGTCAGAATTCTGAAATTTTCATTTAAAGCTATTAAATGGGCTGGAAATAGGCAGTTATGCTTACTTTGGGTTTTTTTTTTTTTTTTTTTAAGAGTAATTGAAATAGCACAACTTTTCTACAAAGCATTTCAGAAAGGTTGTTATATTGTCATTGTGAAATGACTTTAAATGCATTGAATATACAGTTATAATTCTCATTTAAATGAGTAGAAATGAAAACAATAAATCTTTTCCTAGTCTGTGAATTTGTATATTACACCTTTGAACTACACTTGGATTCACAAGGGTATTACAGAAAATGACCTTTGTATTTTTAGTCCCTGCTTCATAGCTCTAAAAAGGTTCTGACTCTCCTGTAGGAGTTAAAACTCTAGATTTTTTACTTTTGTGGTTTTTCTGTGACGATTTTTCCACCTTAAAGATGACAAATGTTCAGGGAAGCGGGGAAAATTATTACAAATAGTTACACAGAATGGCACAGCTTGACTTTCAGAGTTGGCTTTCATCTTGAAGCCTGCTGTTTAAATCCCAGATTTTTCCATATTGGCCCTTGGTTCTACTGAGGTCACTGTTTTAGCACCTTCTCTTCATCAAATGCTTCAACAACTCCCCTGAGTAGTTAAGTTCTCTCATGCAAGTTAAGGGCTTTTATTCTTTGAGCAATGTAAGCCTCATTTCCGTGGTGCAAAAAACTGTTAATCCACACAAACAACAGAGGATTAAATCCCCTTTTGCATCTTTCTTGTTTGAATACTGTTGCATAAAATATCAACTGTACAATTCACTCTTACTTTAGAATTAGCAGAAATACTTTTAGCAGTAGAATTCTTGAATATAATATCAACTTACTTCATTGTTTTTTAAAATACTTTGTTTCAAAATAGCTGGACTTTAATTGCCCTCATGAAAATAACAGTATTTTCATTATAAAGTGTTAAAAGAATGAGTAATCCTGTTTATTACATCCAACATGTGAATGTAGTGCATGTATTTGGAAATAGTATTTACTCAGTAATTAATTATTTACAGGTATGTGTCCTTTTGCTGAGTGCTTGTCAATAATCTCAATATAGGTGCGCCTTTTTTAAACCTGCTATAGTTGACTTTCACAAAGCAAAGATTTTAAACTTCTATGCTTGTCTTTCTCCCTTTGAAATTATTGTGTGTTAACGATGTGACTTTACAGCATTAAAGACTTGTGTTTGAATTTGTGACTAGCCAGTGCTTCCACTGTTGCTGAAATTTTAGGAACTCTAAGTGCTTAGAGTGATATGGTTTTGAGGTATTCTAAGCATGGTATGGGGAAAAATCTGGAAAATCAAGGAATTCGGAACACCGCATCTCTGATCTGCATTGGTCTTTTCAAATATTTTACAATAAGCACATACATCATTTTCATATTTCCTCCCCCCTCCCTTTTAAATAAATTCCACTTGCAGGCCTGAAAGAGTAGCGGGTCACACAGCAGAGACAAATAATTTCTAGAAAACTTAGGTGGACCATTCAGGCATAAAAATACCACCGTCCGATATGATCATGTTGCATTATGCAATATTGGCTGCTAGTAAATTAATTTGACACAGCAGACTGTCATTTTGGGAATATAAATAAATAATTGAAAGATAATAAACTAGTGACTGAAGTATTTCATTGTATACAGGTCTGATAGGAATCTTTGTGCTCTTTTCCATAGTGATATCAATCTTTCCTAACTAATAGCCTTAAATACTCATGATAAAAGGCATTAAAAGCCTAAATTAACACAGTAACTGAGAAATGTAATCCCTTCAGACCACTTACACAGGAAGAATAGATGATGATTTTCCAGCTGTGACAAGGTTCATTTCCTTTTTGACAGGAAGCATTCTTATAGTTAGCTCTGCAGAAACACATGGTAATGCATGCTGGCATCAAAGCCTTTCATTGCCAGCACTGTGAGTAGGAAACAAGGTCTCTCTGATACACCAGATGCAAATGCATACAGGTGAATTACATGTATGTCTTCTTTATGTTACCACTCAGCTAAACTGCTTAGGGAGGGGAAAAAAAAAAAAGTACTGTAAAGTTGAGTATTGAACACTGTGTAGGAGTGATTATTTTGTGGTGTGAAAAAGATTTATAGAGAAAAGGGGTATTTTTCCCCTACTGGTAGTTTTCTCTCTTATGTTGAATATGCAAAAAGCAACACTGTGATCCTGATTTAACAAAATAGGCAAATTTTAAATGGAAATGTTTTGGGGTTTTTTTAATGGCAATTAGGGATATTGATCTTTAAGGGTATATTTGATCCTGGTTTAGGATTTGTATTCAGAAGACACCTATCTAAAGATATAGATACTGCGAAGAGAAGGATAGCTTATGTTGCTGGTTTGTTAACTGAAAAGGATGTCTCTGCTGTTTCAGAAGGATGTGGGCTTTAACCAGTTCATAAGTCTTTTTCTGTTCTGGTACTCCATAGCCAGGATAAAAATAGGAATATTGTCTCAAAACTTTTAAAATCAACTTGCACATACTGGCATGTTTCAAGATTTTCAGTATAATAGAGGTTTTTCCACCTCGACTACATTCCTTTTCATTTTCTGGAAAGCTTTCTGCTTCAGTTTTTTTGTTTTGAAATTTAATGTTGAATCTCTGTCAAAGGCCCAGCCTCTCTGTGTCTTATGCTCTGGGGTCCTTTCTGCCTCAGTCAAGTGATTTGTTTACATAGGCTTTGCATTGCCATAATTATATTAAGTCTAGGATTCTGCCAGAAAGGGCACTTGCATCAGAAATTCTGAATTACACTGAAGAAAGTACTTTGTAGCACTGTCTGCTTGGAACTGTTGGATCTGCTCCA